AATTACATCAAGTAATGTGCTTAGCTTTACAAACTGAGATTGTCTATAAAAAAAGGGCAAGCAGTGTGAAATGTAGTGCAGTGTAATAGTTGCAGTGCAGTTGCAATTGCCTTCATGGTGTCAGTGGTTTAGTTTTCAGATCTTTCAGCCAGCCATTTTTTAGCAAAACTAAAATAATTAGCACCATGTTCATATTTCTGCTTTATTTTACTGAGCAACAAGGATAATTAATACAGTCTGTATTCTTTTAAAGCAAAGATGAAAGTAGCAAGCATAGCCCCTTAGAAAGGAAAAATATTAATAAGGATTTGAGTGAAAGCACAGAGGAACAAAAGAAGTCTGATGAAGAGGGTAAGTGTTATGGTTTTTAAGGCTCACGCATTTCCTTCTGAGTAGTCATATCTAAATGTCAATGATCCAGGCATTTAAACAGGTAGAGCGTACAAGGTCTGCACCTAGTAAAAACCATGCCACTGTCTGTTACTTTTGCAATTACATTGATTCTTACCACTCCTCTGAGACTTTTTTTTGAATATATAAAAATCCTGGCCAAAGTATTAAAAAATGACTGTTTGTAAACATTTGGTATAGACTAAACGTATGGTGACTCCTTGACCAAGTTCAGACTTGTACCCACAGAATCAGATGTCAGTGTTACTAAAGTTCTGTACGCCTGGTAGTTTGCATGGACAGAGAATTGAGTTAGATGCTGGTTATCATCTTTCTGTTTTTTGCAGCTACAGCAGAAACTTCTGATGTCCTCCCAGGAACTACTGGTTTGTCGCATCCCCATAGGAAGCAATGGGAAAAGGGGGTAGCCAGTACTGTACTGGATGTCCTGGAAAATACATCTTTGCTTTCTTCCAGTTTTACATTTGATGAGTCTAACAGTAAGATTTTAATTAAATGTAGTTTTGATTTAAGTAATATCAGTGGTTCTTTACAGGTTTTAAAAGCCAAAACTTTACAGGGTATAATTAAAATTATATAAAAATAATTCAAAAATATTTTATTAACCAACACTCAAAAAATCCACTGTGCTGAAAAGGATTTCTTACTGGTCTTGTGTGGCAAGAGGATTGCAAAGAATGATGAAAGCCACAGATAATACTAGCAACCCTAAAATTATAATCTTTGCTAAGAAATTATCCTACCAACTCTCCTCTTAATATGCTGTTTGTGGGGTTGGCACTGAGGAATTCATTTGATGCAAAATGCAGCTGCCTGTCTTTCAAGTACAGCATACTACTGGGAGCATGTAACATCCATACGACTGCTTCTGTTTCCATTTAACATACAGATAATGCCAGTGAGAGGGATTATTAATGGTGTACCTCAGATGTGAGGCAGATGGGATTCTTCCACATCAACAGCCTTTAATTAGAATACTTAACATGAGGTTTCTTCTGAAAAATGTTTCCATTTCAAAAAGCCCCACACTATATGCAATTGTTAGAATTATTTCATGTGATTATGGATATGTATTCTGTAAATAGATGCTGTTGAAATAAATAAGATATAAATAGTTAGAAAACTCCCAAGCTGTGGTAGGAGTATTACATGATAATTATATGCAGGGCAAGGACAGAAAAAGGCATCTACTTAGGTGTTCTGCTATTAAAAGGCACAAAATTTGACACAGTCTCTGTTTTGTGAGATTTATAGAGCCACCAAATAAGCCTGCAGAGACTCTGAGTCCCCACACCCCTCAGGCGGTTTCTGCTGGCTCCCTGCTAGCTGAAAGCTCCTCTGTGGCCTTTGGTCATTTTCTTTCCTCTTAATGCTGATGGTGTCAACCTCAGCATGTGGAGAGGTCAACGGTGCTAGAGATGGGAACATCTGAACTCTTTTCTTCTTGTATTTCTCTCTTGAATGTGATCTTCGCAGTTTTGTGTAACTAGCACTTATTTATGATTTTAGGTGGCTATGTCATAAACTACAGTGAAAATAAGCCACGTAAGCAGTGGAACAAGGAAACTCCTCAGACCCTGATGAACAGTTTCAGTAATGCAGATGTCAGCTTAGCATTTAAAACATACACAATTTTTAAACCAGGTAAATCCCCAGTTTGTGGGCAAACATTTTTGCAAAAGGTTTATTAATAAGGGCTTTGGGTTTGTTGGTTTGTTGTGGGGTTTTTTACATACATAGCTCCTGTGTGTAGAGTTTGTGCACTTGAGTTCGTAACAGGCTGATTTGGTTTTTCTAAAGTTTGCCAAGTGAAATGTGGGATGACAAAAATCCAGGCTGAGAATTCACAAGTGATTGTACATTTCCACTACATTGCTTTATAAAGAACTTTCACTTGCAGCTCAATAGCTGAACAAGGTTGTGACCAAAAATGCAGTGACTGCAGAGCTGTGTGGTCTCCATCCTGCTAAGCGGCCTGGTGTGTGTTAGGCAGGTGCAATAAATAGGCAGTAGCCCCATCAGTTGCGTTATTAGTTTATCTTGCCTCTTAAAATAGGTAACAGCTTATGATGGAATCTGCTAAGAACTGGGTACAGATTAGAAGGGCTGTATTGTATTTATATTCTTAATATTTTTATTTTTAAAATTAAAGGATTTTGTTGACATTTTAACTTTTATGTTTTCAAAGCTTCTGAAAATTTATTTAGAGGTCCACTTTCTGATTACACTAAAGCATCTGATGAAGTAGATGGTGGACATGAAGCTATTGTCATAGATTCTGAGAGACTTGAGCCTAGATCTGATGAAGATGACACGTATGTCCAAATGACATCTCTGTATTTTTGTTTTCTTTGGTTTCTCAAAGTGAGTTTTCCACAAAGACATTCCTTTGAAAAAAATTCCTCAGCATCTAAATCCATTCCTCTCTGATGTAATATTAAAATTTAGTAGCAGCTGATGTCTTACAGATTTTTTTGTTTGCTGTATTTATAGTTATTGATGGTGTTGAGATTAAACAGGTTGGTTGTTATTGTCAGATAGGCTAATAATTCTCAGATGGGTTCACAAAAATGAAAGCATGAGATTCAATTAGATCCACAGTAAAGTTCAAAAACAGAAGTAGTGAGCCACTTTTGAAAGAACAGAGTGTGCTTCAGCACATTCTGAATAGAAATACTGTATTTTACAGATGTGTGTATGTTTGGGGGGTGTGGGTCTTGGAATCTCAGAATCTCAGTTTATGTCATTTTTTTTTGTGGCACTTGGAGATCAACTGCTTACGCATGTATTTCTGCAGTTCAGCTGCAAGCTGTTAATACCAACAAATTTGCAGTCTCTTAGTATATGCATTTGGGTTTGCTTTTGATAAAACTTACTTGGGCGAATTCAAAAGAGGAAGAAACCCTATTGGTTCCTTAATCACAATGGTGCACAGGAAATCACAGAATATTAGGATGTTAGGAGTTGGCAGGGACCTTGAAAGATCGTCTAGTCCAACTCAATCTTGAGTTGATATTTTTAACATAATTTCTCCTAGTTGTAGGGTAATTTCTGGAAAAGAAAAAGCAAAGATTTGTAAAGTTGTATTTTGCTTTGCAAAATTACATCTTGAAATCTATTTTTAGGGACTTCGAGGAAGATAACCCAGACTGGGTGTCGGAACTGAAAACGGTATTGAAACAGAGGCTGAAAATTTGAATTTGCCTACAATAACTGCAGTCAGGCTTGCCAGTATTTATAATCCCAGTCGTTAACAGTTGTAGTTATTAATAAAATTACCTCAATCAAAAAATTGTGAGTGGGCATGTTTTCTGTATCACAAAACTGTGGGTGAAAAATGCACAACAAACTTTTTCAGCTAGAACACTTCCAAATAACGAAACAAGTCTAGATGCTAAATGCATTTGGAGTTGGTAACAGCTTTGTAGAGATGTTCCGTCAAGAGCATTAGTGCTAACAGCACTGCTCAAACTGCCCCCTTGCTACCTCTCAAAGAAGGAAACAACGCTCCTGCTCCTCCCGGCGGGACGTGGCTGCCGCCGCCCCACTTCAAACGCCACACCTCCGCTGGGGGTGCAGCGGAGCCTGGGGAGGGCGCTTCCTTCTGGCCGTGCGGGCCCCGGAGGCGGCGGGGCACACGCAGGTATCGCGTCTCTCGGCGCTAGGCCAGGCCGGGTGTGGCCGGGCCGGGCTGCAGGGGAGGGAGGCCCCGGCCCGGGCTGCCCGGCTGGCACGTCCCGTCGCCATGCCGACGGCACCACAGCCGGGGCAGGAAAGGCGGCTGAGAGCGATCCGCAGGCGCGGCGGGGAC